GGCCCTCATTTCGCCTTTGTAAAACCACGCCGGGATGTGCTCGCGAATCCTCTGGGATAGACGTCTCGTTGTGCGACCCACGTATCGTGCACCACAAGAGCACGAGTACTGATAAACGAGCATTGAACGGGTCAACGATGGCAGACTATCTTTCAAGGGTTTTGCAAGCAATGGTTTGTTGTGGTAAACAATTCTCAGGCGGGCTGCGAAATAAGTTTTCTCAACAGCATCTTTCAAACGTCGAGATAGGATATCAGCTGCAGTATCGCCCTTAAATGGTAAATGTATGAACAGCTCTTTCTTGGGAGCAATGCTTCTAGGTGGCTTTCGCTTGCGTTCTTTCATATGCTTCATGATAAACTTATCGGGGTAACCATTCTCACGAAGGGCGTCGCTGATTCTCTGTAGTTCTTCGTTGACGGTATCCGGAGTGCAAATACTGCGCGCCCTGAAGGCAAGAGATCGGATTAAACTCCTCTTGTGCTGTAAAGGCACCGCGCTGTGAAAGTTAGTGTACTGTCCAGTCCACGTATGCTTTCTGTGTACCTTTCTGCTACATGAGCCGTCCGAATTGCGGATGACTTCTACATCTAAGAAAGGTAAACGGTTTTTATTTTCGTGCTCACAGGTGAAGCGTAGATTATCATGTGCATCATTAAAGGCCTTCAGCAACTGTTCTGCATGCTTTTCGGATTCGCAAAGCACGAAGGTGTCATCGACGTACCGTATGTACATTTCAGTTCCACAAATGTGCGTCCTGAGTGGGCCATGTTCTAATTTCGCCATAAAGATATCAGCCAACAACGGCCCCAAAGGAGATCCCATGGCCACTCCATCAATTTGACGGTACATCTCACCATTGAACATAAATTGAACATTTAACGTGCAGCGAAATAGTATCTCCTTTCACGGGTTTGCGCAGAACGAGTAAGCGTAGCTTTTCGGTGGTTCTGCCTCGGGATCTTACGGCAAGGTCCTGATCTCGTCGGTAGGTACCAGATGTTGTGGTTCTCGACGCAGTAGTGGTGTTCAGCACAAGAATTCAGCGAGTTGACTGTGGGAACGTGGATACCTGGAACAAGAGAGTGGTGTAGGTAAATTCGGCAAAGTTGGATAGAAGCAAAATGATGGAAGCGCCGCGTGTTAGCTTGGCAAATGGCCAGATCATAGCAACGTTGAAGACCAGCGAGGTAAGAGCCAAGCGTCTAGGCGCTGTTTGAAGGCCTCCGTATCGGGCGCTGAGACAACAGCTTCGGGGAGGGCGTTCCAAGCGAAGGCAGTACGCACACTGAAACTGTTTCTTCGGCACAGAAGGCGACTGCTACGAGTCATCAGTTTGAGTGAGTGCCCTCGAAGATGATCTGTACGGGCGCGGACCAGCAATCCTGCGTTTGGGTGTCTGTTATTAGTCAGGACGGAATAAGCTAAGATAAGGTCGCCACGAAGCCTGCGATATTTCAACGGGAAGAGGTTAAGGGCAGCCAGACGCTCCTCATACGAGAAGTGGGATGGTCCGTCCACTCTCTTAGTGGCTCTGCGCTGTACAGTTTCCAGCATGGCCTCGTCCTTCTTCAGGTACGGCGGCTGGACAAGTATGTTGTACTCCAGCAGCGGACGGACTAAAGTGCTATAGAGACGGACAAATGTCTCTCTAGGGAAAGACCCTAGTGCACGTCCAAGGAGGGCCAGGCGAACGCTAGCCTTTCGCGCCAGTGTAGCTACATTGGCGCTCGGGCTCAGGTCGGCGGATATTATGGTCCCCAGGTCGCGTTCCTGGGATGTGGCTTTAAGATGCACACCGCCGATATTGTACGGATTAGCCACACCTTGCCCAATGTGCATGAGTTTGCACTTGTCGATGTTAAACGGGAGCGAATTTTTCGAGGCCCAAGAATAAGCAGCATCGATATCTGTCTGGAAAAGTGCCTGATCACTTGGCCTGCGGATAGGTCGCCATATCTTAGCGTCGTCCGCATAAAGCAGTATGTGGCTGCTGATACAGGATGGGAGGTCGTTGATGAACAAATTGAACAGCAGGGGCCCGAGGATGGATCCCTGGGGCACCCCGGTCGTTGCAGCCAGAGCGCTGGAGAGTGCGCCGTTTACACGAACTCGGTAGGTGCGGCCAGACAGGTAGGTACTTAGCCAGCAGATTGTTTGCTGGTCGATCCTCCGGAAAGTTAGCGTATATTGGTAGTTGCCGGGTCAACTCGCACACGTACTCCACCGTTTCGAGCAGGGGAATGTTTGTAAACAGCGACTGGGCATCAAAAGATATCATCCTTTTGTTAGTAAAGTTGAGTCCAGATATCTTCTCAATGAATTCGAAGAAGTCGCTCACGCAGTAAGTGCAAACCATATCCCGTAACGGTTGCAATTTGTTCACCATCCATTGGGCCAACAAATGCTGAGGAGAACCCACCATGTCCAAGATTGGACGCATTGGGGCGCCTTCCTTGTGAACTTTTGGAAGGCCATATAATCTCGGTAGATGTTCACCTGAAGGCTTCAACTTTTCGTATTCGCTCTTTGTGATCAGTTTGGCTTGCATCATTCGCTTGAGGCAACCGGCCAACAGTTTCTCTAACTCCCCTGTGTTGTCCTTTCCGGCCATAAGCTTCTGGAACTTACGTTCGTCACTGAGGATTTGTTGCATTTTACAGATATAATCCACCCTATCTAATAACACTATGCCGGATCCTTTGTCTGGTCTAGAGATAATTAATTCGTTGTTTAACCGTAACTCTTTAATTGCCTGAAGTTGCTCCCTTGAAATAATACCATTACTAGATGTTTTGCCTTAACATATTCATGACAGCTATTCACTAGACTAGATTTTAGGTTTTCAACATCACTAGAAGATGTTGGAAACAGGTCTCTAGTTTGTATCATTAAGCTTTCAAACTGCACTTCTAAGGCTGCCTGATCTATTTTCTTACGTGGAATACAAAACTTAGGGCCTAATGATAACACTTCCAGCTGTGTTGGGCTTAGTACGACACTGGAAAGGTTGAACACATACCGTTCAGGGTTATTCGGAAAGGTCAATTGTGGGACTTGATTGTTAAGCGTACTAAGTAATTTCCTTCGCTTTCTTGCTCCCACTTTCAGCTTAACTAATTCCACATATTCCTCAAAAGGCCGTCGCAGATCCTCAGACAAGCCTGACACCGATGGAAACCTTTGCGAAATGAATCTCTCCAGCTCCGACATTTTAACGCGGATGGTGTCCACATAATTAAGTGCATGCCTCTTCAAAGTTTTTGCGTTTGGGTAGAGGCCACAGCGCCGTATCTCTCTCCAAAAGTGTTTTGGATAGCGGCTTGCCTGTACGCATTCATTAAGAAATTCCAATTCAACCCTGGATTCCTCCAACCGAGTACTGAACTTCAGATACTCATTCAAAATCTTCAACGAATCACGGGCAATGCTGATTTTCAACACAGCAAATATTCCCATTGTAATCAAATGAATCAAGACCAGAAAACAGTTCAGGGTTAAGATATCTTTTCGGTAAAATCTCGTCAGACCCAAACTTTTACATGACACCGATTATGTGGGGTAAGCGTCAAATCGGGCTGGGATTGATTTCTAAGGTGTTTGAAAGGTCAAGATCGATGACTAAAGGTGGCTACAGATGGTAGGAAAAGTGCATCAAAGGAAATTAATACAAGCTTCAGGGCCTAAAGTAAATAGCTAAGGTCACAAAGGGTAGTTAAGTAACCATGTCAGTCGGCCAAGGTAGTAGTATCGGCCGTATGAATCGTTTGTGTACGCATAATTCCGGCTTCAGATGATGGATGTAAATAGCCTCGGCGATAGACAAGATTTGCTTTCGGAAGCCTTGTGATAAGCGTTCAGGTAGTGAATAGATGACTTTAAAGTCATTCTCAGATGCAGTATGGCCACTTTCGAGGAGGTGCGACATGATTGAGCTGTCTGAGGCCCTCATTTCGCCTTTGTAAAACCACGCCGGGATGTGCTCGCGAATCCTCAAACACCTTAGAAATCAATCCCAGCCCGATTTGACGCTTACCCCACATAATGCGTGCCATGTAAAAGTTTGGGTCTGACGAGATTTTACCGAAAAGATATCTTAACCCTGAACTGTTTTCTGGTCTTGATTCATTTAATTTTTAAATGTCAGCTACCGAAACGCAGTGTATAATACGCTTAGTAGGTTGTATGCATTCATTTGCATAAAGAGCTTTCACGTTGGCAGCCGTTCACTCATCCGAAATGTCCGGTCTAACCATTTTTCAGCTGTTGCAACGGAGTACGCATTTACGCCTACACACCAACTAGTGTTCTATTTTAGTTACACGCATACTGAAGCATATCAGAGATTAACAATCCCAGCAAATAACATAAAATTATTATTTGTGTTAAGATATGTTTAGTATAAAGGAAATGTTTTAATTTCGTCCGATTCCCCATTTGAATTTTTCACGAGGTAAATGGATGGAACGCGACCTAACGGAACGCACGCCAGAGCGCCGCTATTTGTGCGAACGAACAGCGTCGTATAAGAGCCCTTACAGTTGACATGGCCGAGATCTTGGAAGTATCCAGAGTGAGACCACGCATGGGTCAGACTAAACATTTAAACCAATGTCATCCGTTGGTGACCTAGAACCGTATCAAACCGACGAGCATACGTAGGCAGTTAAGTAGCGCACGAACAATGATACCAAACCGAAGTGGGAGGCATGCAAAGGAAATAGATGGTTCGGTGCTACGTCGGAGGACTAGTTAGCAGCACCCGACCGGCAGTCCAATGAGTTGTGTTACTTCCAGCGAAATCATGCATGACAGTACTGACACACACACACACACACACACACACGTGTACACTGTGACCGTGGTCAAAAAGCATTAATGAAGAATTCCAACGGGAGATCGATGGTCAAGTCGGTTCATAGATAAACAAAGACAATTCACAAGAAAAACAGGTCGAAGATAGACAGACAGATAGAGCGTAAGATGAGACATTTGCTCACCAAACCAAGCAGGACGAATAGAGCGCCGCCAAGAGAGCACGCAAACAACGGTCCGACGATCGACACCTGGAATGAAAAAAACGGAAGTGTAGTGGTTTAGTGGATATTTACCATACGATTGAGTGAAGTGCTGCAACAAAAATACAAATACCGTAAAAAAAGATAGTGGAAACAGCAAACGTAGATCCCGTAAGCCAGAGAATCAGTTGCCAAGCGAGCGAATGGGGATGAGAAGGCGAGTGAGTATCGAGACAGAAAAGTGCTTGTTCCGATGCCGCGAGTATCAAAAAATTTTCATTATTGGTAGATAACTATTTTGACAGAAAGTAGAGGTTATCGCCGGTGCATTCACACTTCGTTTGCAGAAACACCTGATGTTTATTTTATTCGGACTATGGGTCGAAAGGAACCAGCTTTTGGCGGAGCTGAGGATAAGATGAAGTGATATTCCGAAAAGAGGTGACGAGGGTGAGACCCTCGAGTTAGAGATAAAATGTATGTCATATTGACAGTAAGAAAATGCGAATATCTGTTGTCAAAGACACCAACAGTTGACCAACATAAACCAGAGTTCACAAGCAGGGCTCGATTTTCAAGAGCCTTGGGGGCACTTCAAAAAGAAACGATTTTCGTTCTTTGTACTGACAATTCGTTCTGCTTCTGATGAGGACACCAATGTGGCAAGACTGTTTTGTTTCTCAAGATCAATACATGTTGCAGCATGCCTAAGTGGCTCTCGGCTTCGGACAACAAACTGACTTCTCTACCCCGCCCCAAGATGTAGTTTTGTCTTGTTTTATGGCGTTCAAAACGATGAGATTGGGGACAATTGTGTGCCTGTGATCCACACACAACCAGGAAGCTTCGAGATGATGGTCTGGGTGATTGTGGTCATTCCGACTACACTTCTATGTGTTCGTTCCGGTGGTAAGCCGCAAGATAGTCCGGCCCGGAGTTAAGAGCATGGTTTTAATACCCAAGGAGACAGAGCATGTGGGGGTAAAATGGCATACTCCGAAAGAGAAACACTCATTGAGCCACTTTGCATGCTAGTGCCTGCTAAAATGGGCGGCGACACACGTTTTCCCATTAATACGCACATGTTGGTAAGCTACTGCTTACTAATTTAAATTGTCCGGTGACCAACTGGCCTTGTGATCCGCCGGCCACGGACTCGAAACTGCGTAGGCGCCAGTGAGCCTACAGTATCGCTAACCCACAAATCACTGGTTTCGGTCGCATGGCAACAAAGCGCCAGTACGACATGTTGCCTAGTTTACAATATGCTGGGTAAATTTCATTACACTTTGCTTGGTTTGTTCTGCATACCAGAACTATCTTCTATTAACTGGCCACCTTCCTTACGCTAATTGCGCTTATTTTCGGTAACTTTGTTGCGCTTGTAGCATATTTAAGTAACTCGTGGACATTTCTTACTTATCGCGGATTCGATGCTAACCAACTTACTTCCTATGGTAATTTAGCGAAGAGTTATGCCACCGCATCTGTATGCATTATTGGATTAATTTTATTTCATATTCTCGTTTCAAGTGAATGGTTGTTGCTTGATATCCCCGGTGTGGCTGCGCTTGATGTGCATGTTCACAAGATGCCTACCTGTCTATTACCCACTAACTCGATCATACTGGCTTCAAGCGACAGTTGATCGTTGCTGGAGGGGACGGGATGCACGGTCCTTGTGGCCGTGCTAGGCTCGAAGAGCAGTTCCATCCACTCAGTGTGGAGCGGACAACGGTCCAGCCATCGCCTTATGTGTACTTGATTCTCCAAATACAGCGTGCTTGTGTTTGACTGTGAAGGTGTGGGCTGACTCCGTTGATGAAACGTGGCTCCCATCCACATGCCTCCCGGTCTTATTCCTTCGGGTTTACACTGCATATGGGGTGTGTGGTTGGAGCTGTGGGTGGTGCAGCGCAAACCACCCATGGTCCCTCTGTAGGCGCAGGCGTCCTGAGGGTGTTCCTGTGGAGGCCATAGTGACATGCAAATCCGAAACCGGATGCAACCAACCAACCAACTATATATATATATATATATATATATATATATATATATATATATATATATATATATATATACCGCGCGAGAGCCTATGGTGAGCATAGGTGGCGGCTAGATCTTGACAAATGGTCTACCCAGTGCTTCTACTGTTGTGCCGTGCGCTCATGTCCTGGACGCCTCCTCGTACCGACCGCTGAGTGGGAGTTGGGTTACGTCCTTCTCCTTGCTAAGAACCAGGACACCAATCCGCATGAGTCAGTGAACTCACCATGTGCTAGACTTGTTGCCTTTCGGGTGTACATTTAATCGAAAGCTTTCGCTGCCGACCCGAGTCGTTCTCCTGTCAAGTGTGGGCGCCCTGCCAGTATCCTACTCCATCATCTTCGGAGGTTAAGAAGTGGTCGATGGCCCTCCTCCCGTAAAACCTAGCCATGTGAGGCAACAGGTCTACGGGTTATAAGCTCACAGCTCGATTGACGTAGAGCACGAACGCCACGCATTGTCTCTGACGGTGGAATAACACCTCCGGGTGTTCAATGGTTTGCTACTGTCCGCCCCAAGAAAGGTAGCCCCTGGTCAAATTGGTGCAAACCCGCCAAAACCCACCTGCGTCTGGCCGTGGTCGCAAGTAAGTATCTTACTACGGTCGCAAAACATATATCAATCGTCCCAGTACCTCAAAGGCTGGGTACGACGGCCGTCAAAAAGATCCCAAACTGTCTCTGCAATCACATTCCTGAGCTGGATCTGCTCTCCACTGTTTTGTGGGTCAGGCTATTGAGCCAAAGGCTCCGGGAAGAGTCCCTCAAGAAAACCTGCAAACCGCCTCGTGGGTCAGGCTATTGAGCCAAACGCTCCACGTGAAGTCTCTCAAGCAAACCTCCGAAGCACAACGACCACCTCGCGTGCGATTGCCCATCAATGCAATCGTATGCCTGCGCGCAAAGCACTCAGCATCGGGTGCTGGAACTTGCGCACACTACTGAACCGGAACTCGAGTGAATGCCCCGAGCGTCGTACTGCATTCGCGCGATGGAACTGGTGCGATACAACATCGATATTGCGGCGTTCAGTGAAACTCGGCTCCTCAATCAAGGTAAGTAGCATGAAGCAGGTGCTGGCTACACGTTCGACTGGGTGGGCAACGCCACCTTAGCACGTTAACATGGCGTCAACTATACAATACACGATCGCCTCAATGGCCAGCTGGTGAACGAGCCAACAGGCATCAGCGAACCACTGATGACCGTGCGACTATGACGCGCAAGAGGTAAGTGTGCCGCTTTTATCAGCACGTACGATTCTACCATGTGTTATCCTGATGACACGCGTGATCAATTCTACACGCAGCTATCCTCCGTGATACGGTCTGTGCTGAGGTGCGACCGAATATTTCTGCTGGGTAATTTCAACGCGCGCATTGAACGTGATGCATGGGTGTGGACAAATGTCATCGGTCCGCATGGTATTGGTGCAGCAAATGCGAACGGTGACAGGCTGCTCTCACTGTGTGCCACTCACGGCCTGACGATTACGAACACTCGGTTTGCATTGAGTGCGAGTGATATAGCAACTTGGACGCACCCATGGAGTGGTCACGTTCACCTGCTCGACTATGTCATCGTACATCAGCGTGATATGCGTGAAGTGCGCATGACAGGTGTATTGCGTGGAGCTGAGGGTGGCACTGATCCCAAGTTGGTGCCGATCAAACTGTACATATACTTTCGTAAATTTATGTATTGCACACCCGCGTAAACTTAACGTTCGCTCCCTCGGTACTGTGGCGAAACGTATTGAGCTGGAGAAGGCGATGGCTGCACCCCTGTGTGATGTGGAATGCACAGCTACAGTGGGCGACCTGTGGCACCACATTCGCAACCCGGTTGACAGCCGCTGTCAAGGAGATCATCAGGCGCGCAAATTGTAAGCAGCCTGATTCGTCTGATGAAAACAAGGAGACGATTGGTGCACTGGTGTCAGAGAAGAATGCAGCATTTGCTGCATATGTCGCAGACCCCAGTGACTTGGGGAAGAAGAGTCAGTTTCGCAAACTACGACGGCGACTGACCCCAGAGCTCCGTCGCATTAAAAAATGCACGGTGGACGTAGAAGGCGAAGCACATGGAATGCTACACCTAAAGCCGCCAACACAAGGAATTCTTTGACTCCCTGAAGGTGGTGTATAGAGCGAGATTGGAGCCGCTAAAGACGCGGATCGATGTTAGCTCAGGCGCTACCTGCACAAAGACTGCAGATCTGGCGGAAACGTTTCGGCTGTCGCTTGAACAACTGATCAGAGTTCGACTGGCCTACACTGAACGGCCTCAAGTAGCACGATGTAAAGGCGAGTCTGGTGGACACGCCGACACTGGATGAGACGCAAAGAGCACTTGCTCAGCCGCGAAACGGCAAGTGTGTCGGTGCCGACGGGATCCCGCCTGAAGTATTGAAACACAGCGAACCCGCGTTGGTGACTGCGATGCACCAATTGGTGCAACGTGTATGGATTGAGGAAGAGATGCCTCTTGAGTTGAAGAATGCCCTTGTGCTACCACTGTACAAGGGCAAAGGGAGAAAGCAATGTTGCACGAATTATCGTGGCATCAACTTGCTGAGTTGTGTGGGCAAGGTGATTGCCTGAATCCTGCTCAACCGCCTCGTCTGTCAGGTTGTGGAACCTAACGTGGCGGAAGAGCAGTGTGGATTCCGTTCGGGTCGCAGCACTATAGATATGGTCTTTGCGGATTGTCAGTTGCAGGAGAAGTGCAGAGAATGACACGAACCTTTGTACTCGCTTTTTGTTGATTTCACCACGACAGTTGATACGGTTACCCGCGAGGCATTGTGGTTGGTGTTGGGTAAGTTTGGTTGCCCGCGTAAGTCTGTAAGTTTAATTGAATGTCTGCACAGTGGTATGCGGGCGAGGGTGCAGCTGAGTGGATAGACCGCGGATGACTTTGCAGTTATCACTGGTGTGAAGCAAGGCTGTGTCATAGTTCCTGCCCTATCTAATATTTATCTTCATGCAATGAAGTCTTGTG